GGAGGGGGGAGGGTGGGGTGCGGTTCTCGCACCAATAACTGTGAGGACAAGCACAGCTGCAGCCTCCCATTCGCCGCGCAGCGCTGGTCTACCCCCTGCCCCTGTGGCATGCGACTGACATGTGGGTCGTATCCTATCATATGGCTGTGTTACGACTAGTATATTATAGTTTACACGTATTACTGGTAGTTTTATGATCATCATGTTGTTGTATTATTATTATTATTATTTTTTTTTAAATGTTGTTATATTATGAATGCCAGTCATATTACATTATATTGTATCATGAATATACGAGTATTATTTTGTTATATTTTAATAAGAAAGAAAGAAGAAAACCGAGAGGCAGGTGGTTGGCGGGTTCGCAGTTGACATGCTCCTTGTAGTTTCCCGCCCGCATCTTGGGACTTGGCGCGCAATGACGCGGTGGGATCCGAGAGACGAAAAGTACCCTTTCTTCCCCGCTCGGGCATTATATCTGTATCTGGCCCGAAAGTTGCACGAAAGGAGAGATATAATGACTGGAGAGAATTGTGTTCGGGCGAGGAAAGGTTGTAAGCTCGGCATGTGGATTTATATAATCTTCGCCCTGCAACCGCTACTACGGTAGTGCATATGGCGTAAAACGCACTCTTTCATGTTCTTTCAGTGATACGTGATTGAAAGAAAGAATTCGCGACGTGGTCGTATCCCTTCCCTTCTGATTCGCACACTATTTGAACTCCGCTCTGAATATCAACCAACCGTCACGTGGGTGCCGCATTCATCCAGATGAGCTGGGTACTCCACTCTTGCTCTCTTTGTGACTTCGTCTTTCTCTGTGTGTGTGTGTGTGTGTGTGTGTGTGTGTGTGTGTGTGTGTGTGTGTGTTATGAGGAGGTTGAAACAAGACAGTGTGGTCAACACAACGTCGAGTTTTCACTGACATAACGGAGAATGATAATGACTGCGATAGATGCGTACTGTGGGAAGGTTGAACCTGGACAGCATGTTGCGAATGAATGCATTTGACTGGCAGGGTCGGTACCGAACCGAACCGAACCGAACCGAACCGAACGGGCGTGTTCGGGGACTTGGTGTGTATTCTTGTCGCCCAAAGTTAGCGATGCCCTTCAGAGAGAGAGAGAAGTGGGTCGGGTCTCCTCAGCCCCGCCGCCCCCTTACGATGGCACCCAGTCAGTACCGAGGTCACTGTAGACACTGACGTGTAACCACTAGTTCGGCTCGGTTCGGACCCTGGTAGACGCGACGATCCGCCTCGACCGAGGTTCCAACCCTACTAGCGAGACGGGATGTTTGTGGGAGGTAGGTATAACGTGACTATCGCCACGATGGACCCGGTGGTCATTATCGCTGTACTTAGAGATTGAAAGTTGCCCCAAGCGCAGCTGTAATGACCGTGCGTTCTATTGGGAAGAAGACGGTGGATTATTTGTTATATCTATGCTGAGACATCATAGAGGTCGTTGTTTGAACACGTGTGTGTTCGTGTCTGGGTGTGTGCGTGCGTGTGTGTGCGTGTGTATGTGTGTGTGTGTGTATGTGTGTGTTCGTGTGTGGATGTGTGCGTGCGTGTGTGT